TTCTTCTTCTTCTTCTTCTTCTTCTTCTTCTTCTTCTTCTTCTTCTTCTTCATCTTCTTCTTCATCTTCTGCTTCTTCTTCTGCTTCTGCTGCTGCTTCTGCTTCTGCTGCTGCTTCTGCTTCTTCTTCTTATTATTCTTCTTCTTCTGCTTCTGCTTCTGCTGCTACTTCTCCTTCTCCTGCTTCTGCTTCTGCTCTCCTTCTTCCTCTTCTTCTCCTTCTTCCTCTTTTTTTTTTTTTTTTTGTTGTTGTTGCCATGCTGACCACCTGCTGGGTATCAGCCATGGCCTCATCAGGGCCATTATTTCAGTGGAGAACACTTTATTCCTAAATGTCACTATAATCATGCACCATCATAAAAATATGTCAAGAGTCCATAGAAATGTTTAGTCCTTATAAATATTTACTTTTTCCCTCTGGATAACTGAAGAGTTCTTGTGAAAGCAGTCAGCTCAGCTTTCCGGGTTGAGGTCCCAGGTGGTGGTGCCAACATATCCAGCCCTTCCTTCTCCATAAAGCTGCTCCCATTCGTGAAAAGATCCCAATGATTCTCTGGCATCAGCTGCTCTGACAGATCCATCCTGCTGAGACACACAGCCCCCAGAACCTCTAAAGAGCAGGCTGCAAAGGTGCATTCTCTTGGGTTGGCAAAAGGGTGGCAGGATTGAGAATAGACAAGAAGCCCGGGCATGGTGGCTCAGGCCTGTAAGTCTAGCACTCTGTGAGGCCAAGGCCAAGCTCTCATTTGAGCTCAGGAGTTCGAGACCAGCCTGAGCAAGAGCGAGACCCCATCTCTACTAAAAAAATTAAAAGAAATTAGCTAAAGAATAGACAATAGACACAGTCTTCACCAACAATTCACAAGTAGCTTTTACTACCTAGAAGCAAAGAGGCCGTCTTCTCAAACATTGTTCAATGGCTTTGAGAAGTATGTCACTGGCTTGGGATGTCTCCCGGCATCTATACTAAGACTCTAAGGCTCATTCTTTGTTTTTCATGTTATTTACGAGTCAGGCAAACCCAAAGTCGGGGAAGTCATAAGCTATCCCCTTGAGAGCTCCATACAAGGGCTATATCACTAGTCCAAAGTCTGGGATCCAGATGCATTCCTAGGAACCTCGGATATGTCACCTGTGTGTAAAGCTGTCCAATTGCAGGTACCACAAGTCCCACTAAGCTCCCATCAAACAGGGCAAGAGAGTCCTTTGAAAAGCATGAGGCCACTCCAGTCCCCAGATCCTGCCACTAAAATGTAACTGAGTATCATTCACAGTCAGGTGTGCAAAATTATTAGTGGCACATGAATCCTGCATGTATCTGTACTCATTGGCATGGGGAATTTAAAATCTCTCTGTACACACTGGGGTCCTGTCAGCTCATATGTGAAAGGCAATGCTCCCATGAATGCCACAAGTATTACTCAGTAGTGCAGTGGATTAATTATAGAAATTAAAAGGTTATTAGTTTACCTAAAGATATTCCCACAAAGATATCTTGTCTGTAATCCAGGGACACCTGGACTTATCTGAACCATGGCTGTGTTCTTCCAAGTGATATTAACAAAATAGACTTCAGAGCCTCTGAGATCCTTTTCATGCCCTGAAAGAAAATTTTTAATATTATAATAAGGCAAATTGCATTCAAGACTGTTTCGTTTAGTAAATTATTATACTATACTGATAAATAAAGATCTCTATTTTCCACAAAGCTCAATGACTTAGGGATTTTGCTTTATACCCCAGTAGAGAGATAAAGGAATTTCATGTCCTCCATGTCAGGCAGTAATAAACCTAGGGACCCTGCAAGACTTCCTGTGGAAACACAGTGTAAATTCCCAGCAATCTGCCTGCGGGTCTCACACCTTGTCCTCACCCCCTGGACACAAACGCATGTTCTGTGCTTAGGGACTGTGATGTTTTCTGGGTTTGCCCACACACAGGTCCCCCCTCAGCAAGACTTCCCTTGTCCTCAGCCCTCACTGCACCTACTCCCAGTGGACGTCAGTCCTCACTACAGAGCAGGGCTTACCTTGAATAGTTCTTTTATTCCCCAGTGAACAGATGATCAGTATCCAGGATATATAGAGAACTCCTTCAAAGAAATTAAGATACTTCTAATTCTCCTAAGATATGAGCACATGCTATCAAGGGTTCACAGATGGTAAGAAAGCCTGTGAAATGTGTACCTGAACACATCCTAAATAATCAACATGACACAAAATAAAAGAGCAGTGGTATGTCTTACACACACATCATGCTAATATAGTTTTCAATTAGTCTAACCAAATGCTGGACAATAAATGGACTATCACAGATGCCTTCACACTTGGCAGCAGTATATATTGAATCTGTTCTCTGACATACAGTCTGACAATAGCCAGTTCAGTGGACAATATGCTCGTCCCACTATGGAACAGTCCCAGAGTGACTTCCAGACTTTCACACATACTCCAAAAACCATAGAGATAGGCAGTTGTTCACTGTGGTGCCGTATGTCAGAGCAAAAAGCTAGCAATAAAATATGCAACTAAAGTACAATACATTTTCCAATGATGGAGAAACATTTCTGTTTCCCTCTCTATGTCCACCTAGAAAGTCTGAACTACCAGAAATGAAATACCCAAAATGCTGGATGAAAAATGTTAAATCTTCCAAATATTTTAATGAGTACTTCTCATTGACACACAGTAGGAATTACTACATAAATCCAGATTTTTCCACACACTTTCAAATATAAACCAAACAACAATTGGGGCAAAGTAAACATGACAACCTATATCTCCTGCTAAACAAAAGGACAGGAAATACCTAAATGCATATGATGCTTGGCTGGGAAAGGCATTATTATTAGGACAATTGGTGAAACTTGAGCAGCTCTGAGCAGAGACGGCAGAGACGTCTGGGTGGGAATCTGTTTGGGTGATGGTCCTGTGGTTGGCAGGAGCGTGTCCCACTATGCAGGGAAACACAGTAAAGCACAGGGCTCAGGTGGCATCACTCAAGATGGGGGTGGGGTCAGCGTGACAGCTCACTCTTTAGGGGTCAGGAAGGGAACTTCTCTGCACTGCCTGTGCACCTGCTCTGTAAGTTCTGCTTGTTTTAAGACTAATTCGACTAGTTAAACATAGGAATTTAAGGAAAACTTAATTTTCAGATATTGCTGTAAATAGGCAAATACCTCAATAAATACAGGCCTAATCCTGTTGCTCCTACAAAGCCAGGTCCTCCACCGTGTTTCCTCCTCACTCTCTGTTCCCTGTCCTCAGGTCCTCAGGAAGCTTCTCCCTCCTCCTCCTCACCTGCACAGTCACTTCCAGCCCCTTTGGTGGGGACATTCACATCACAGAGCCTGACTCTCACCTGAATGCAGAAGTTGGCAGGGAACAGAGTCACAGCAACTGGCTCAGCAGCTCTTGTGCTATTATATCCACTATCTTACCTGCCAGTGTGTGTGTGTGTGTGTGTGTGTGTGTGTGTGTGTGTGTGTGTGTGTGTCTTCCCATGGATTGTGCCTGGAACTCATAAGTCCCATAGTTGTTTCCAACACCCTTCCCTGTCCCATCTCACCTCCTGACATCTCTTGCTCCCCAGTCCCCTAAGGTCAATGTCTTGCTTTGCACCCTCTAACGTTGTGTCTTCAGGCTATGGAGCTCCTAGCCTGGGGTGAGCATGGGCAGAGCCTGAGGCCCTCCCTGCCCCCATCCGTGGAGCCCTTACCCCATGCAGTGAGGAAAGGAGACTACAGCCTCCCACTCCACAGTCTCCATGTGGGGTACCAGCACCAGGTGACAACAAACCCCCAGGGCTGAACCTGTGGGAAAGTGGAGCAGGCCTGGACCAAGCACAGGGCTTGTCTCTGGGTGAGGACAGGGACATGGGAAGGGAGGCATCTCTGGGTATTCCAGGTGCACAGGAGTACAGACGGTTGTGGTCTGACGCACTTGGTCTCTATCCAGGGACCCTGTGGAGGGCTGTAGGGAGGACAACAGGACAGAGGGGGTGGGACTCAGACGTGAGTGAGGCAGAGCTGGGTGGCCCAGTGATCTGTGCTGGAGCAGAGACTCCCACCCATGGGGCTGGGTGCAGGAGTCTGGTGGGTCCCTGAGAGGAGGCCACTGGGAAGGGCCTGGCAGCCCCCACCCATAAGCCTGGCAAGGTAGCCAACTCACTGGAGACGAGGAGGAAGGTAGAAGGCTAGTATTACGGCCCCAGGCAGCTTGGCCAGGTGAGAGCACAGAGGCCACAGAGGGTGGCCTCTGTGGACAGCAGGACACTCCAGCCTCAGTCCTGACCCAGACCCGACCACCAGACTGAGGCCAAGACACAGACAGGAACAGAATCTGCACATAGGTGATTTCATCAGTGTGATCTCTAGATTGTATGATTAGAAACAGAAGCCAGGATGGAATTCTGGCTGAATATTGTGCAATTGTTACACCTTTCTATGCATCAGTTTTCACAATTAGAAACTGACAACTGCTATGGAAACAGATGAGATGAAGACCTCACGCAAGCAATCCTGTCCTTGCCCGTGCTACGGACTCGCCACTGAGAAGGGTCCTGTCTCAGGCATTAGTCCTGCCTTCCCTCCACTCAGCACAGCCAGGCCCGCCCTGAGGAGAGAGGCAGCCCTGCGCCCAGTCCAGGGCCTCTTCCTGTCACTCCGGGTCTCTTTGAAGGGAGGAAACAAAGGCCCAGGACCAGGCCCCGCTAATCAAGATTCAGGAGCCCTTCTCAGCCTCAACAGGTGCCGATTCTGTTCTGTCACCAGATGAGCCTGCCATTACTTAATGCCAGCTGGGTGGCTCAGTGAGTGGCTGAATACATGAGTCTCAGACAACCGGCCTGAAGGCTGGCGGCACCCTGGGGAAGGGACCAGAGGGCAGGTGGCTGCAGCGCGCCTGACTGCCCAGACTCGGAACTATGAAGGCCTCAGCTGAGCGGGGCTCTGATATTTTTTCCAGGGAGGAGTAACTTTGGTTTGCAACAGGGCTGGGCGCCATGAGGATAGAACCTTCTAGGAAACATATCAGTGCTGCTAGGACAGGTAAGTGCAGAACTCAGACGGTCTGACTGAGGCCTGAGTGTGCCAGGGCAGGGACCTCTTGCCTTTTAGCAAAGAAGGAAGGAGTCTGAAAGCGGGAATGGAAATGGGACAGGGCGGGAGCCCAGGAGGAAACAGATGGAGCAAAGGTGGAGTGCGGGGCAGCGAAGGAGCAAATGAACCGCCGCGCCCCGCGCCCGCCCCCGCCCCTCGCGCCCCAGTCAGTTGGTGGCAGTGGCACAGCCGCCCCGCGTCCAGCAACGCGCCACCGCCCCAGTCCCCAAGCGCCCTGCCGTCCGCGCCGACCAGTCCCCAGTCGCCCGGACGTCCAGCGTGCTTTAGCCGCCACCTGCCAGTCCAGCCGCCCTGCCGCCCGCCGCCACCAGTCGCCAGCCGCCCCACCGTCCCGACCGCCCCAGTCCCAGCCGCCCCGCGGTCCCCAGTCTCCCAGCAGCCCCGCCCGGCCCCGCAGCAAGGGACCTCGCCGCCTTCCCCCAGCAGCGAGGCTCCGGCCCGGCCCCGCCCCTGAGCTGACAGCCCAGCCGCCCCACCCCCCGAGTCGGGGGCCCGGCCGCCCCGCCCCCGAGCCGTGGAACCAGCCGCCCAGTCCCAGAGCAGGGCGCCGGGCCGCCCCGCCCCGAGGCGGGCGCCCAGCCGCCCAGTCCCCGAGCCGGTGGCCCAGCCGCCCAGTCCCCGAGCCGGGCGCCCAGCCGCCTCTACCTCGCAGCGCCTGTTACAGAAGTTCTTTCCCCAGCGCCGAGCGCTGTGATTGGAGCAACGCCCGGTATAAAGCAGCTGCGGGCCCCGCCGTGTTCGAACTGCCGGCGGGCTTGTGGGTCTCGGTGGTCTTCAGGCCCGGGTCTCCAATGGCACCGAACGCGGGCTCCAAGTTGGACCGGGCTGTCCCTAGCGTTCTCCTGCTGCTGCTTCTGCTGCTGCGGCTGGTCCGGACCTGGGAGGGGCGAGCCGGTGAGTCCGGGGATGGACCCCAAGCGGACTGGGGCAGTCGCGGGGTCGGGGTAGGGGGCTTGGATCCAAGCGGGGGTGACGAATGGGTGCCTTGGTGCGAACAGCGGTGAGTAGTCGGGGCCTTGGGATGAAGAGCTGCCACAAGGGGGGGCCTTGCCCGGGTCTGGACCGGCGCGAACGTGCTCCCGGGACCGCGTCGCGCTTCTCGGGTCGCCTTCGCGTGCGGAGAACGCTGCGTCTGGCTGCCGGCAAGGGGAGGGGTGGAGAGAGGCTAAAAAGTCTCTGCAGGAGGAGGCAAGGGGCAGAGGGCTGGAGAGGGCAGGAATGCCATGTGAAGCGCCGCTGCATGGACTGCAACCTAATGTGGTCAGGGGCGGGAGGCGGGGGAGATCCCCCAGGGACACGACCACAGACACCCCTGGGACCACCACAGACCCTGCTGTGCTCTCACAGAATCTCCCCACACTAACCCTGCAGCACCCCAGGCTCTGTGCCCTTGAACTTCCTGCTATGCTTAGACCCAGGATATCACCTGCAGGGCAGGGGCTCCCAGACACTTCCCTCCCCTCCCCCACCACTCATTGCGCCAAAGCATGGCGTCCTTTCACTCCCCACCTCAGCCCCCTGTGCCCCCACAGGCCTCCCTCTCCTCCCCATCCATGAAGGGGCCCTAACACCTGATCCACCAATTGGCACCTTGTCCCCCTTGCCCAGTGTCACACCCCGGAAACATGTCAACCTGCCCAGGACCTAAAGTAGGAAGGATGGGAAGGACCTTTCCCCCAGTATGACCTTGGGGATGCTGGTAAGCAGAGACACCCACGTCTGCCATGGGGTCCCTCACCCGCCTATTCTGCCTGCTGGGGAGACAGGATCACACGCAACAGTGGCTACTTACACAGGAGTCAGCAGAGGTTTTCCACAGAGGGAAGGGACTGGACGCTTCCCTCTCTGCAGCTGCTGGTTCTTTATCACTTACAGTTTCTCTATAAAGCAAAAGCAGGCAAAGAGAACCTGCAGACGAACAGGGGACCAGATGTAGCCACTGTCCCACTTTGGTGACCCCAGATCAGGATTACAGAGTGTCCCAGTGATTGGTGTCCCATCCTAGGGTGTCCTGTCTCACCTGCAAGGTGAAGAGTGAGAAGCGGGTCCTTCCCTGCCTGTGGCTTCTGGATGGGGTGGATGAGGCAGGGGTGAGGGTCCTGTGGTTTGGGACCTGCTGCTCCCATCTTTGCTGTGGCCGCCTGGTCCACATGGGCCAAGCCACACTCCCTGCAGCCACAGGTGTGAGCCCTGAGGAGGTGCTGGGACAACAGTGTGGTGTCCTGGGCATAGGGACACCTGCTGGTGCAGGTTCTTTGTTCCCTCTGGCCCTGCTCCTGCCACTCCCAGGAGGACCACCTGTGTCTTGTCACTGCTGGGCCTATCTCCCGAGTGACCTGTTGGGTGAGGAGCCCATCCCCTGATGGGCAGCTCCAAGGCTGTGTGGTCACTGGTATCCCATGGCTAGGAGCCCTGTCTCTTCAGGGCCCAGCCATACCAGCGCCACTTTAACTGGTGACATTTCCCTGCTACAAGTGGGAGGGCCTTGCTGCTGAGCACTAGGAGTCCATGTTGTGCTTCCCCAATTAGGAATTGCCATGAACTCCACAAAGCCCCTTTTCCAACCACATGTGCCTCTAGGATCTTGGAATATCATTAGACACATGGCCCTAAAGACAGGTCCAGCCACACTCATTTATTCACATATGATGTAAGGCTGTTTTCAAGCTACAAGAGCAGAGTTGAGTGATTACAGGAGAGATCACATGGCCTACAAAGCCTAAGATAGTTACCATGTTAAGTACAAGGGCTGTCTGTCCCTGGTACAAACTCAGGGAATGCAAAATGTCCATTGAGTGGGTCTATGAACCCAGGACTCCCTATCTAAGCAGGACTTGGGACAAGTGTCCATTGATTACCTTGCCCTAAAGGTGCCTTGTCAGTAACAGGGCCAGGATGGTGCCTCAGTCCCTGGGCAGGAGGTCAGCACACGCCATCCAATAGGAAGCTCTGGGTGTTTCCTGGAGTACAGCTACCAGAGGGAAGGCCCACGTGGCTCTGTGGGGAGGCTGAAGGAGCCACTGCCCTTGTGGGGTTTCAGGGGCTCTCCTGAGATCATGGGCTCTCCTGTCATGGGTTCTAGGCCTGAGAAGTGCCTCAGTTATGAAAACTGGGTAGGGGAGCCCAGTTTCTCTCTACGGTGCTGCCTTCAGCCTCCTGAGCATCCATTCTGTGTTTAGCATTTGTTGTTGTGACCATGTAAATCCAGCAGTATCCGGATTGGCTGCCATCTGTTCTGCCTCTTGCACCCCAAGTCCTGTAGATGTGGGCATCACCCTCTGTGGCTCTCTAATCAAGTCTATCACTGCATCCTCCTTGGTTCCAACAGTGCAATGCCTCACTCAGAGTATGTCAGGATTTTCAAGCCCATTGCTACTGGGGGCCATTTCAGGAGCAGCGTCTCCTAGCGCCAACCCTGCCTCAGCAACAGGCACCACCGAGCTCATTCACAAGGCCGGGGCCCTTCGAACCGTGCATTCTTTCTGTGCTTGGTAGGCAAGGGTCCTGCGGGCTGTCCTACCCACCACAGTCCAGTGCACATTGTTCTGGGTTTCACACTCCAGCCACTCAGACGTGCACTGCCCTGAGCCTTTGGATCCCCTCCTCCACCACCCGCCACACAAGTCCTGCATTTTCTATGTCATGCCGTGTGCACTGTGCCTGTGTCCAAGGTTCCACCAACATGTACTCAGCAGATGAGCATCACACCAGGGCTTTGCCAACGTGTTAAAGCCTGTGACCCATGACAGTGAACTCCCCTTATGTGACCTGCATCCCACCCTCACCCCGCCCTGCCTGCCCAGCATGCCCAGGGCAGCCCCTCCACTCTCCCTCCCGCACCCACGTGGGCTGCTGCTGAAGGTGCTCTGGCACCCAGGCCTCTGCTCCCACCGCAGGCGGGCACCTCCCTGCGAGGCCATGTGCGGACCCGTGTGGGCAGAGGGCAGCTGGGACATGTCTGGGTACATGTGCTGTCTTGCCAGGCACAGACCTCCCCCTCCTTCTCCTTATACAAGGGACAAGCAGTGTCCCTGATCTGGTGGACATGACAACCCAGGAAGGGGAATCCTGGCTTGGCCACCTAGCCCTTCAGAGGGAGTTTCTTCCTGTCACAATAGGGGGACAGTATCTGGGGGTCCGTTTCTCCCCACCCAGCCCTCACCTGCCTTTCTCCTCCACAGAAACTCACTGTCTTTCCTATATCTTTACCAAGACTGCTGGACAACTGTGCTGTGAGGTTCAAGGCAAGATAGAGGAAAAGATTTTTCTTAATGGTAGCTATGGAAACAAGAATTTCAAACCCTGTGGTCCCCTGGGGAAGGAAATCTATGGCACAAATGTCTGGAAAGGACAAATGGAAACACTGATTAATGTGGTGGAGGAACTCAGAAAGAAACTGCTTGATTTTCAACTGGAGAATCACATACTCAGGGGTAAGTTTACAACGGTCCATGGCAGCAGAGAGCAGATACTGGGGTAGGTAACAGGCATTTGTTCCCTTTATGTAAAAAAGAGGGAGGGGGAGTTTTGGTCTGACCCAATGGATCCAGGAGCAAATCCAAGATGTGGCAGAGAGAGCACGGTCAGGAGACAGGAAGGGAACAGGGTGGAAGCACGGGACTTGTCAAGCCCAGACCTGATCTCTTTCCCTTGGGGACAGGCAATATCACTGTGGAGATCACCATGTCTTGTCAGCGTGAAGCCAATGGAGACATCAATGGATTCTGGCAGTTTTGTTTCAATGGGGAGGAGTTCTTCGTCTTTCACTCAAAGAATAGAACATGGACACTGGCTAATCCTGGAGCCAAGCACATGATAGTGAACTGGGAAAATGACATGGATGTGACCAGCTTCTTCTATAACATCTTGGCAGGAGACTGCAAGATGTTGCTTACACACTTCTTGACACATTGGGAAAAGCTGCTGCAGCCAATAGGCAAGTGAGAAAACTAAACATGGGAGCTTCCTTGGAGTTGAGATCTAATTACCCAAGCATGAGAGAGAGAGAGAGAGAGAGGTGTGTGTGTGTCTGTGTGTGTGTGTGTGTGTGCAAAGATGATCCGCTCATATTGGGTTCTTCTTGGGAGGATAATGACATTACTACTCTGGTCACTGTCCTCATTTCTCCTCTCACCTCCTCTCTTCCTCACTGCATATACTTTTGGTCCATTCATTGTGGTTTTCTAAATAGTCTCCAAACTGGGCATCATGATGTTTCCAGACCTTTGGCCTGACTTCCTCCGCCTGCTAGAATCACTTCTCCTTTCCTCTCACCTGGTCTGTTTGTGAAAATCCTTCAAATCTCCTCAAATGCCAGCTCCAGAGACCCTCCCCTACCCGACCTTCAGCCATCACTTCCTGTTCTTCCAGGGCAGGAAGGATGGGTCATGGGATCCCCCTGTGTCCCTGAGCAGCGTGGGAGCTCCCTGAGGGCAGGACACACCACTGTCTCCCCTGCTAGCTCAGGACCTGTCCCACCACCTGCCACACAGCAGAGGGTGCAGATGTCTGGGCTGCAGGAGGACTTTTGGCAGCAACAGCTGAGGAGGCGACTCCTCAGATTTGGGGCTCAGACCAGGGCTGTCCCTCTCCTGTTTCCATTTCAGCACCACCCACCGAGGCCTCAGGCACAGCCCACGTCACGGCCAGGGCCACCAGGTCCATCTGCTGCACTCTCAACGTGCTCCTTACCTCCTTGATCCTACTGCTCATACTGAGTAAGTGCCTGGAGTGACAGGTGCTGTGGGCAGATTGGGAGGGGAGAGGGCAGTGGTGAGGTGGGAGGACGGGGAAGGGACTCCCAGAGCACCACAGCCTCGTCCCATCCACAGGACCTTCTCATCCTGGAATGAGACAGGGGAGAGAGATCTCATGTCCCTTGACAGTAGTACCCTGGGCTGGCCCCCCCTGAGCTCTAATTTGTTGTCACTGTCACAGGCTGGTGGGACGGGAGGCCCACACCACATCTTAGGGCATCTGGACACTGGAGGGGAGCAGCAATGTCAGGGGATTTTCAGAGCAGGCTGTGTGTCCTACGGGCCATGCTGGGGGCGAGCAGACAGCAGGACCATGGGCACGGGCAGCACCTTGGTGGCTCCAGGTGATGTTTCAAAGGGAAGGAGGTTTGATTTACAAGGAAGAGAGCAGGGGAACTGGGTCTAATCCCAGGAGGAGGAACCGCAATGGCCTTGACACTCCCAGTTCCAGAGGCTGGATTTCAGGGCTGCACTCCACCGATCGTGGCTGGGGACACAGCAGCTAAGCTGGAAGGTTGAGAGCAGAGAGTGTCCAGGTTGAGGTTGAGAACAGGCCACTCCCCCCAGACTCTGGGGTTCCGGCTGGGCCCTGGGCTGTGTCCCTGACACCCAGCCTCCTGCACTCTCCAGACCCTGAGCCAGCGGATAAGCAGAATTGACTCTGAGGACAGGTGGGCTGAGCTGTGGCTGGAGTCCCAGGGTCACAGCTGAGCTGGACCAGGGATAGATGGGGACAGTCACATTCAGGGTTGTGGGTGACATTCCCAGGGTGAGGAGAGGCTGAGAGAAGGGGAGAGAAGGATGATTGCCTGCAGACCCTCCCGAGGCCAGGGCGCCATGGAGCCAGGCCCTCTCTCTGGACAGGCCCCGAGGCTGGAGAGCCCATGAGAGGGAGGAGGCACCGAGTGGGGCGTGGACCATCCCTTGGTAGCCTCAGTCCCCAGTCACAGCATCTGGGCGGGGCCTGCGCTGATCTGCTCTTGTACATGGGGGTGGAGCTGGGTATAGGCTATAGGTACCAGGCATGGGGGTAGCAGGGAAAATGTGTCCCTTAATGACAGGTCCCCTCTGACAGGGAGAGTGACTGGGAGGGATGGCCAAAGAGAACTGGCCCAGGGTCTCCTCAGCCTCCTAAACCATCACTTGTGTCTTTTCTGAAGGTCGAAGCTGCTCCGCCAAGCCCCTGTGAGCCTGGCCTGGTTCCCACCCTCTCCTTGGCCGCTTCCTGTCTAGTACCTGCGGCTGCTGTCCAGAGTCCCAAGAGTTCAAACCTTTGCATGCCCAGAGGCCACCAGGAGTCACGATGAAAGTGCACATTCCACATCTCAGGGCCTGTTTCCCTTCGTCAGGACCCTCTTGTACTTTCCATTAATACCAGCCAGTTTCTCTTGGTGCTAAAATAAACACTGGACTGTTTCCTTCAGTAATTTATTACACTCTAATTCACTCTGATTTATAATACACTCTATTACACTCTCATTTATTACACTATAATGCATTTGCCTGATAATTAGAGATGTTGAGCAATTTTTTAAAGTTGGAGAAAGATTTTTGTTTATATGTCTGCCTAGAAAGTCTGAACTACCAAAGATGAAACACTCAAAATGCTGGATAAAAATATTAATACCTTCAAATGTATTAATGATGAGTTTTGATTGACACACAATAGTAATAACTAAATCCCGATTTTTCCACATTTGAAAAAAACTACACAGATCAACAAATGGGGCAAATTAAACACCACAAGCTGTATCTCCAGCTAAACAAGAGCATAGGAAATACCTAAATGCATCAGATGCTTGGCTGGGAAAGGCATTATTAGGACAATTGGTGAAACTTGAGCAGCTCTGAGCAGAGATGGCAGAGACGTCTGGGTGGGAATCTGTTTTGGTGACGGTCCTGTGGTTGGCAGGAGCGTGTCCCGCTGTGCAGGGGAACAGGTGGCATCACTCAAGATGAGGGCGGGGTCAGCGTGACAGCTCACTCTCCAGGAATCTGGAAGGGAACTTCTCTGTACTGCACGTGCTCCTGCTCTGTGAGTTCTGCTTGTTTTAAAATTTATTCTAGTTACACAAGGGAATTTAAGGAAAACTTAATTTTCACAAAGTGATATAAACAGGAAAACACTTTAATAAATACAGTCCTGATCCTGCTGCTCCTACAATGCCAGGTCCTCTGCTGTGTTTCCTCCTCACTCTATTCCCTGTCCTCAGGCAGCTTCTCCCTCCTCCTGCTCACCTGCACAGTCAGCCCCAGGCCCTTCCGTGGGGACATTCAAATCGCAGCCTTGACCCTCACTTGGATGCAGGAGCTGGTAGGAGACAGAGACCCACCAAGGGCTCAGCAGCTCTTCTGTGATTGTATGCACCATCTTCCCTGCCAGTGTGTGTGTGTGTGTTCGTGTGTCTGTGTGTGTGTTTCTGCATGTGAGTGTGTGTGCATGTGTGAGTGTGTATGTGTATATGTGTGAGTGTGTGTCTGTGTGTGTGTTCCCATGGATTTTCTGCCTAGAACTCATGACTGCCACAGGGACTTCCCACACCTCCTCCCTGTCCCATCTCACCTTCTAATATCTCTTGCTCACCAGTCCCCTAAGCTCACCATCCTGCCCTGCACCCTGGTCCTACCATTCTGCCACCAGGCTTTCAGTTCTGGCACATTCCTAGCAGGTGTTCTTTTTTCCACTAGCTAAGAAGCCATCAAGCTTAAAGGCAGACACAAGTGTCACTTCCCTTTAAGGCTGCCTCACCTTCCTGTATTGGTCATCATTCTGCAGAGAAACAGAAGCAATAGGACATGTGTGTGTGTGTCTGTGTGTATGTGGGGGGGGGTGCACAGAGAGAGACAGAGGGGGAGGTTTAGTGTAAAGAGGGGCTCACGTAACTATGAGGCTGGCAAGTCCAACCTCTGCAGTGTGGGCCGGGAGGCCGGAGCCCCAGAGCGGATGGTGCAGGTGCAGTGTGAAGCATCTTCTGGAGACTTCCTCCTTGTTCAGAGAGACCCATCTTTTAGCTGGTTTCAGGAAGTCAGCTGATTAGATCGGGCCCACCATATCACAGGAAGCAATTCACTTTACTCAAAGACAACTAATTTAAATGTTCATCTCATCCAAAGCACCTTCCAATTTGAAGGTGCTTCACACCTGCCCAGGCTAAATTCACCACCCCCTCGTGTCCCGCAAGCCTACGGTACGTGTGTTTCACTCTGTGACAGCAGATTGCATATCTGTAGCTTAGCAAATCATGAGATTTTGGAAATAGAATGTGTCCCTTCAATCTTTATAAATACATGCTCTAGGGCAGAGATGAGACTCAATTATGTGACAGCCTGAATCACCGTGGAGAAAGCAGCTGAGGGAGGTTTGTTCCTGTAACGTTTGGGGCTCACTCTACAGCACAACCACCAGCGGTCAGACACACCTGACTCTCTGGCCGCAGCCCCATCGCCACTAAGCTCATCACTGTGTCCCTCCACAGCCGAGGAATCCTCGTCTCAGTCCCTGTGGACACATCCAGGACTGTGGGCAGGTGCCAGAGGGAGGGGAGTGTCGAGGGGACCTGGAGCTGTGGAGCTGGTAGCCTGGGGTGAGGACGGGCAGAGCCCTGATTCCCCTCTGCCTCCGTCCACACAGCCCTTTCTCCATCCAGTGAGGGAAGGAGAGCAAGGCCTCCCACTCCACAGCGGACCATCAAGTAAGGAAAAGAATGGAGGACCGTCAAGGCAAAGAGCCAAGGCCAGTGGAGGTGGCTCTCGCCTGTAATCCTAGCACTCTGGGAGGACGAGGCGGGAGGATCACTCAAGGTCAGGAGTTTGAAACCAGCCTGAGCAAGAGCAAGACCCCGTCTCTACTGAAAAAAAAATAGAAATTAATTGACCAACTAAAAATATATAGAATAAAAAATTAGCCAGGCATGGTGGCGCATGCCTGTAGTCCCAGCTACTTGGGAGGCTGAGGCAGGAGGATTGCTTGAGCCCAGGAGTTTGAGGTGGCTGGGAGCTAGCCTGATGCCACGGCACTCTTGCCCAGGCTACAGAGTAAGACTCGGTCTCAAAAAAAAAAAAAGAAAAGGCAAATAGCCAAGTGAAAGACGACAGTCTGAAAAGTGTGCACACACTATGTTCCAGGTGTGTGTGCGTTTGTAAGAAGGAAGCTGTATGGTAAAAGTTCAGTGATGGCCGGGGAGGGAGGGGCAAACAGGAGGAGCACAGGGGATGTTCAGGGCATTAAGTATTAGCCAAAGCCCACAGAATGTGCACCAGAGTGTGCCCTGATGTAAGCTATGGATTGAGCAATAACGAGGTATCAATAGTGCTTCATCAGGGGTGACACATGTATCCACCTAAAGATGTTAAGAATGGGGTCAACTTTGAGGTGGGAGTGGGGGCATGGGCAATATACGTAACCTTAACACTTGTACCCCCATAATATGCTAAAATAAAATAAAATAAAGAATGGGGTCAACTGACTGGGAAGAGGGGGGTCTGCACCATGAACTCAGTATTCTGTAACCCTACCAGTGCTCTAAAAAATAAACTCTAGTCTTTAAAAATATTTTAACTGCATATGATTATAATTTTATAAAAATTATATGTGAATGTACAAAAATTCTAAAATTAAAGGCTGAATAACAGAATTACAGATCATTCTCGCTTGTTCCTTATACCCTTCTTCATTCGACCCATCTTCAAAGGCACATGTGCTGGCTTATCCTCAGGAGCACATCGCTTTGGGAGTCCCCTTCGGTGCCCACCACGCCCTGTCCACTGTGGAGCTCGGCCCTTCCTGTGCCAGGTGGCTGCGGCTCCTTGGCCGCTGGACCTGAGAGCCGCATAGCCGGGCTCAGCCTCAGGAGAGAGGAGGAGGCCGAGCAGGTCCTGCACGCTGGTCTCAGGGCTGCAGAGGGACAGGGACGGCCGCTCCAGCCCCTCTGCTGCAGACGCTGCGTCTCTCTCTCCTCCAGGCGAGCTGAAACCGAGCACACTTTGCCTCTTTCCTGATCAGGATTTTTGTTCTCACTCTTCCCCACTGCCATGTGAAACTTCACACTCTTCCTCCTAACACCATTTCATCCTAGGTCTTGTCAGCATAACATGCCTTGATGTTTCGTGCCCAGAAAACACTGATCGCACCGTGTCCTCGGTTACAGTGTAAAGAGTAGCGAACTAATGGACAAGAAATAGGGTCTCCCCCGAATCGCCCCCTTTCCTTCACTCACTCACGCAGTCAGTCCTTCCTGGGCACCGCGGTGGCTGGGCTGCAGGCGCCCCACTGAGGGGGGCAGACGACTCCCTGCTCCACTGGGGAAACGCGCTCACCCAGCACGCACGCTGTGCAGACCCCAGGAAAGGGACAAGGATGCCAGGGCAGGGCAGCCAGGGAATGGGGTGAAGAGTGGGAGGGAGTCCCTTTGCTTTCAGAAGCGGGACGAGGAAGGTCGTGCTGAGAAGGGGACACTCCAGTCTTGGCCTGACGGAGGTGAGTGTCCCAGGCAGGAGGCACAGCCGATGTCCGGGGCCTGGAGCATCCGCGGGAGAATCCAGGAGGCTCCAGTGGCCGCAGCAGCAGGAAGGTTCGTGGAGAGGAGTCCGGGCAGGTGATGGCGGGGGTGGCGTTAAGACCAGTGTCCCACGCAGTGTCTCTCCAGGCTGAGTCATCTGAGGGTGTGAGCAGAGAGGACACATGCCACAGGTTCCATTATAAAAGGGCCACTCTGGGAGTCAGGCCTTCTGGAATGGTGTAGTTAGGATGCCTGAAAATCTGCTACTCATGAAAGCAATGAGAACATGTGCAAAATGGTCCACAGTCAGCTTTGTCACAACTCTGAAAATTAAGCAAACCTTATATCGATCAACCTGGGGAGCATTGATTAAAACAAAACAAAAGAGGCCGGGCGCTGTGGCTCACGCCTGTAATCCTAGCTCTTGGGAGGCCGAGGCGGGCGGATTGCTCAAGGTCAGGAGTTAAAAAAAACCATGTTGAAAGTATGTTGAAAGTATAACATACCTGGAACTGGCACTACCTGTCCTGTCCAACAGATGTCACTACACACCCCTCAAATGTTTCAGTTTCCCTAGAGTGAGTCTGCTCCTGGTGAGTTTGGGAAACCTTGGGAACCCACAGACTGGAAACCACAGCAGGAGGCAGTCCAGGAGAGAAGACAAAAGACAAGGAGACTCATGGAGGATGAGGCGTCCGTGGAGAGCACGAAGAAGCTCCTTGGGGATGAGGGCAGGTCCTCCCACCTCCCAGGTCAAGATGTTGTGTTGGCCAAAAGCAGATGGAGGCTCCCTGGTGGCCCCGCAGTGCAGCCCTGTGGGACAGACTTTTTTCTATCGATCCAATAAAACTCAGTTGGTTCACTGCAGAGCCAAGGGCAACAGGAGAAATATCAGAATGAGGAACTGTCTGGGTATTTCAGAGAA